TCCTTCATAAATAAAAACTACTATTTGTCTTCTACCTTCAGAAAAAAATTCAATTCATTTGGTTGAAGAGTCATGAAGATTTTGAAATTTTCTGCAATTCTAGTGACTTTCTGGACATCCTATAAGTTTCATGTGCTGATTTTTATCACCACATTAAGTATCTGGGATCTCTGTCGTCTATAATTTTTCAATAAAATCTTATCTCTACATAAATTCTGTAAAAATTCTATGCGAATCGTTTATAGGATCGAATCTCTCCAGTAGGTTGATTGGTTGATTGAGAGATAAGGATAGAATAGAAAGAAGCAAAGCACAAAAGAACACTACACAGTTGGTAGAATCGAACACTTGAACTTTGAATTCAAATGCAAATTTTACTTTTGGACTAAATTGTCTAACAGTAAACACTGAAAAGAGTAAATACAGACATGTTGGAAAAAAATTTTTTGACTCAACTCTACTTTATCAAAAAAATAACATCTTTGTTCGTGTATTGAAACCGATTGTTGTTTCTTTTGTCTATTCTACTGTTACGTTCGGTTTTTTTTTCTTTATCAGTTTTTCTGATCTCAATCTTAACCAACAAATTTTATAGATTAATCAACATTGTAAAGTTAATCATCACACATACTCTGGTATTTACGTTAGAAAACTTCTTCACACATATAAATTTCTCAGATTTTGTGATATACTTATTCTACACTAATCACCGACGTGTATGTATGTTTACGTTTTTTTCATTTGAAATTTCCACATATTTGTACGTTTTAATACCTATATTAGAGAAAGAGAGGAGAAAAAGAGTGCAAATGAAATATGTGCACTTCTCTTCATTCACTATTGTCAGGAGAGTTTACCGTATTATAGTATAGAGACAAATAGAACAAACATTGTAAAACAATCTCTAAGTGTAGTCAGAATACGGCCAGAAACAATGTCGAATTCATTAGAAACTCAGTAAGCGAAAGGTATGAATTGTCTATTTTATAAGAAAAAGTATACTATTAAATTCATACCCATTGAACATCTGTATTCTAATGTACAGAATCACACGCACCGATTCGTAAATGAATAGAGTTGCTCATGTTAAAACTATTCTTCACACTAAATTTTGCCACTTTCATAGGACAAGTCGACTTGGACCATATAAATTTTTTTTTCTAGATTTAATCAATATAATGTCATATAAGCAAACAACACCATTAGCTCCTCGGCTATTTGCATTTGGCGGTTCAACTAAACCTGTTAGTGAACTTATTTTTAAAAAATATGATTTAGATGAGAATGGTTCAATCGAACTCGAAGAATTGAGAAATTTATGTTATGACATGGGATGTTATTTATCAGACAAAGATTTAATATGGGCAAGAACATTTTTAGATAAGGATGGCGATGGGAGAATTTCATATCCAGAATTTGCTGCATGGTGGAAAACCTCAAATCGATTTCATTATTTGAAGCTAGATTCGAAACAAATGAATATTATTCATAAAATTTGCGAAATATATCGAAGTTATGATCAACAGAATAAAGGTATATTAGATAAAACAAAATTTCAATCGTTAAAAACTGATCTTCTCAAACACAATATATTGAAAGAGAATCAACCATTTAATTTTGATGAAATTGATCGATCGCACGATGGTAAGATTAATTTCAACGAACTCATTGCATGGTTTGTTGATATTGGTCTACTAACAATGTTCGATGAAAAATAAAATATTCTTACAGAATAGTTTTTACAGCATCAATGGATATTATAAGCTGTTCATTGTAATAGTTGCACATATTGTTGGTAAAATGTTCGTTTTTGTTTATTTCGTACGCGTACAATATTATTTAAAAGAATAAAGCGCTATATAAAGTCTCGTTTCGCAATATTACTGCCTCTGCGCGACACCCTGTACAATAAAATATATTTAAAAGAGATTAATTTAAATCAATGGATTACTGTTCTATTTGAGAACATATTGTTGTATTTTGCATCTACTAGGACAAACTCTTTTATATGATTTTGAAATATAATACATATCTATACATAGAAAAAATTAAACTCGATTTAATCCTTGTACTCCCAAGCCTATTTTAGACACAGCAAATAGAATACATTCATAGAATGTATTTCATACTTCGATCCATGCAAAAAAACAAAATTTCATCTCATTTTGTTGTTTTTTGAGAATGGTTGGTAGTACAAGGGTTAAAATAAATTATGATACGATGCTTTTGACAGCTTTAATGGTACAGAAATTATACACACCTAACAAATGTGAACTTATTACAGTTCATTACAGTTCAGTTATTACAGTTCATTACCCAAATCCTACGTTTCGCCAGAGCTGACGTTACTAGGGAAGGGGGAGGGGAGAGGGCGCGATACCTCCCCAAAACATAAAAAATCCTCAATTTTTCCCAGCAGACAAAAAAAATTCTTGTCTCAGTGAATTAGACAGTTCTATTAGATAGTTTACCTAAGAATGATCAGAAGGTCTTTCATTTCTTCCTATGCTCTTGCTTGCTTGAAATTATTTGACACAAATAGAGGAAATATGAAATGCGCTTGAATGGTGATTTTTTCATAGAAGGGCAAATTATCGAAAGATTATCTTGACGATACATGCAGACAACAGTTCATTTTAAATACCGAAGTAACGTTTGAGCTATGTGATGCTCAATTTGGAAGTAAAATGTAAAACTTTTCATTATATTTGTTACAGGTAATCTTATAAGCAAGTATTATCAATATGCTTAATGAAAGACTTCTTCAAATTATATAATCCATTTTTTGTATCTTACGTATATTCTTCTAGTAAAGGCTTGTGTCAATGGTTAAAGTTCAAAAACTCATCAAGACTTTTTATATTATTCAACTGATAGCGGATCTTCTAGTATAGAGTCAAGTAAACTGTAAATGAACGTTACTTGTCTTTATATAGGGAACATTTAATGCATTTTGGATAGTATAAGGAGAAGGCGTATGCAGTAGGCAGTGAAGTGTCTGCCGAAAAATATTCAATAGGACACTACAACAATAAAAAACCCGTCCCATATTCTGATGCTTTAAAACGGTTGTTGCAACAGTTGCAGAGCTCGAACCGGTTGAGAAACGGTAAACCGATCGATTGGAATTATAACTCAAACCGGTAAAATACCGGGAAAAACGATTTTCAGAAAGAATTTCCCCCACAGGTAAAATAGTTTGTGAGCACATGTGAGAGAATCTTCACAATAACGAGTCTATAACATTTAACCTTAAAACAAGTGATGAAAATAATGTCTTGAGCATCGTCTTATTTATTCTGACTGAAAAAGACGTGAAATTTTAGTTTTTTGACGAAAACAGGGTAAAAAGAGCAGATGTTTCAAAAGTTTCAACCGGTAAAATTCCGGTCTCTACAGGCCCGGTTGACTTTTCCAACCTGTCTGGTTCTGGCCGGACCGGTTCCAGATCTGAGCACTTGGATGATCAACTGCACGATAAGTTCAAACTTTTTAGATATGTAAATAATTTTTGTATCATTAAAGCGGTCAAAATCAACGTATAATATCTATAGATACATAATAATTAAGTTTTATCGATTGTTAATATCTTTACATACAGTGTGTAACAAAATTGATCATACACTCCTCATTGAAGCTTATGATTAATATTTCTCCGAAACAAACCCACCTACAAAGTTTGGAGTTTCGCCAAAATGTTGCAAATTTATTACAGTTTATTTGCTTAAAATAGGAATCATTATATAAGGCCAGGAAGAGTGAAATGAACAACTTTCTTTGTCCGACAAAATTGATCATACAGTTGAATTTTTTTTAAATATTTTACATAGTAGAATTTAGTTTTAATTTAACAAATCGAGCGTATTTTACGCAGTTTTTCTCGCTCTTTCGGCTCATATGTAGTTCAGAATTTTAAACCAAAGAGCGGAGAAAAAAAAGAGTACGAGATACAAAATAGTGATTTTTTTCAATGTTTTTTCGATGCTGTTTTGCAATCTTCTCATAAAAAATTCATATTTTCATGAAGAAAGATTTTTCTGTTTTCCGTATCGTGCTCATTCGATTCTCCTCACAGAACCGCAAAGGCACTCAGGTTTTTAAACCTTGAAAATCTTTCCTCATGAAAATATGAATTTTTCATAAGAAGCATTACAAAGAAATATCGAAAAAAACAATGTTTTGTATTTCATTTCCTTTTTCTCTGCTCTCTGGTTTAAACTTCCGAAGTACATTGAGTCAAAAGAGCGCAAAATACGCTCGTTTTTAATGCATATTTATCTGTATGTGCGCTATCTTTTAACTACTACATCAAAACTAAATTTTTATGCTGAGTATAGAGAGCGATATTAGCAGCCTTATTACCCAAAAATTACGCTAAACTATACGCTTTTCTAAAAAATATGTAGTAAAACTCGTGTAAGTGCTTACTACAAACTGTCATCGGAACCGGAGCGGAGTACTTGACAAATTACTTTCCTTTTTAGACTTGCAAGAATATCTACCAATTATGTCAAAACCTTCGACATTTCTATTTCTTACATAATAACTACGAAGAGTTTCGCAAACGAAGATTTACTTGATACAAGAAACGAACTTGAACTGTTTTATTTGTTTTACTTCTGTTGTTTGAGGCAATAGGAACCGGAGTCCAAAACGAATAGACACTCGATTCGGTTCGATTGGGCTGCTTGCCGAACCAAATCGAACCGCATTTTATTTTTGAAACGCGAATCCACCGCTCAGTTAAAACGCTTTGGTCAAGCGAAGCTACACTGTAAAGTCGGAAATTATTTATAGAAAATGTTCGGGGATTTTCAAAAAGGCCATGTATTCTTTTCACCGATTTTTCTTTAAAAATTTAAATTGCCAAAAACCGTGTTTTGAAACAGAATATTTCGTCTTCAAATTACTTTGGTAAGAATAAAAAATACGTCATCTGGCTAAGTTTTTAACGTCTTTCTGACTGAAACACAGTAAGATAGAACAGTAAAATCCATCCGACTTGTAGTGAGGCGCCACCTCTCGCCCTCAGGCTAATACGCCATTCTTGTCAGTCAATGAAAGTACAATTTATTCAATACGAATCATTTATTTTTTTGCTCTTCTTTGAAAATCAGCGGCCATTTTTCAGCAGATATTATTAGCAGGTACCTTCTTCAACGCAACTTTTCCACTTTCAGAATGCGCCAGAAGTGACAGTATAGATTATTTTAGAGAAGTTTTAGAAACGCTTGTATCACAAATTTCCTATACTTTATGAACATGCCCAAGTGCACGAACGAACGTTTGAATCGATGTGGAATGATTTAACTACCTCACCAGTGAATGCACTTGTACACGAGTACTCATGCATGTGCTCTCGCAAGTTTTATCGAACGTTTCTGGAATATTTTGAGAATCAAGCACTTGCCAAAAAGGTCCAGTCCAAATTAATTAATCTTGTTAAGTGCTCGACCAAAAGTAATCCCCAAGTACTGTGTGAGATACAACAAGTAAATCAAATATCTGGCAAGTACTTGAACAAAGTAATTACTAAGTGCCATTTTACGAAAATACCTGCCAAGTACTCGTAGAAATTTATAAATAAGCAAGTACCCGCTTGCAAGTACATTCATTCGGGTTGTTTGCTCTCAAATTCAATAGCGGTCCAATTTCTGTTATTTTTTAGATCTGGTTGTTGTCTTCTTTCTGTTTTCTCATACTAAATAAAAACGTCAAGTGATGAATGCAATAAATAATCAACAGCTTCCCTCCTCGGCCACTCCATCTCCAAATCCTTTATCCTCAACAACAGCAACAACTCTCACTTCTTCGACAGCAGGTGGTAATAATAATGCTTCTGCATCAACATCAAGTCAACAAGCTCCTTCAACTCCCTCGTCATCATCCTCTTCTGTCGTATCTCGCGATCGTATATCTCAATGGATAACCGAACTTCTTTCATCATCAACACGTGAAGGTGCCTTAATGGAATTAAGTCGTAAACGTGAAAAAGTAGCCGATTTAGCCGTATTATTATGGCATTCATTTGGTTCGGTTGCCGTCTTACTACACGAAGTCATCAGTGTGTATCCTTATATAACACCACCAACGTTAACAGCACAACAATCGAATCGCGTCTGTAATGCATTAGCTCTATTACAATGTATCGCCTCGCATCCTGATACGCGTTCATTATTCATTCAAGCAAATATACCATTATTTTTGTATCCATTTTTAAATACAAAATCATCAACAAGACCATTTGAATATTTACGTTTAACATCATTGGGTGTCATTGGTGCATTGGTTAAAACAGACGAGACAGATGTTATTAATTTTTTGTTAACAACCGAAATAATACCATTATCATTGAGAATTATGCAATCGGGTAGTGATTTATCAAAAACAGTTGCCACATTTATATTACAAAAAATTTTAGCCGATGACTGTGGTCTCAATTATATTTGCCAAACATTTGATCGATTTTCACACGTGGCAATGGTTTTGGGACGAATGGTTTTACAACAGGTATTCATTTGAGTCGTGCGACAAAATAATCGTAGTACTAATGTGCTTTATGCCTGCTATGTATGTAACATTTATGTTCCTTTTAGCAACGTGAGCCAAGTGGACGATTATTAAAACATATAATTCGTTGTTATTTACGTTTATCGGATAATCCTCGTGCTCGAGAAGCTCTTCGTTCATGTTTACCTGATTGTTTGAAAGATCACACATTTGATATTGCTCTGAAAGATGATCAATCGACAAAAAAATGGTTAACACAATTATTGATGAATTTGGAATCATCTCCACCCACAAATGCTGTTAATAGTAGCGGTGTTGGACAGCAACAACCACAACAGCAAACATCAACATTTCAACAGCAATCATAGACTATATGTAGACTTCTGTGTGTATTTTTTTCTTCTTCTACTAGTCAGAAGTCAGGATATTATTATCATCATTCTTTCTTATTCCTGTCTTTTCTGGTCGCTTAGCCTATTTTTTTTCATGCTGATTTTGTTAGTATGCTTTCTTTCTTCATACCTTAGGATCGTTAAACGACATTTATTGATTTTCGATGTTTGAAGTATTTGTTCAACGGCATTTTGAGTAAAATAAATGAGGTGTGCGTTTGTTTTAAATTATCTAGGTTATGGGATGTACAAATTGCTAGAAGAGCTCAGCTCACAACATCATTATCAGAAAAGCTTCGCTGAGACTAAAAATGTGAAATTCCTCATTCATCGGTCAAGCGCTAGAATATACACGATAAAAGTCATTCCTACACAAGATTATCATCTTTAATGCCCAACAGAATCCAACAGTATTGAGTATCAGTTTCAACGCCTTTATTCTCATCAAAGAAATGAGAAGTTTTACAAAATAAGGGAACATGTAAACTGAAATTTTCAAAATCAGCTCGCAATAAGATCTAGCTTTCTTTAAATTAGAGCGTTTAAGTAAACAGTATGAATAATTTAAATAAATTAGTATTTTAAGTATAAAATATGAGTGATTTGACTAACAATATTTACTATTGAATAAAGTTATTTGTCTTGTATATTACGCTTGGACTTTTTTCTGATGTATTCTCGAAAATCATTCTGGAGCAGCAAGTAGTCATGGTATTAGGTAGCTTTTTTTTTTTTCAAATTTATAGTCGATGATATAATTTTGGTGCTGGTTTTTGATTCCTCTCTTTCATACAATCGATTTAGATATGTTCTGAGATATTTCATGCATAAATTATTTGGATATAATAGACAGTGTGTTGTCTGCATGTGAAATATATCACGGTTCACAATTGGTGAAAACCGTGGCACATTCGAACCTTTAAAACCAAGTGTTATGGCTTGATCAATAGTCGATGTTAAATTGACGTATAAATCTTTTTCAATATGATGATGAAAATTTTCAGCTATTGTTAAATTAATATTATATTCAGCATGAAGTAAATAGGCGATGTACGTATCATCGGGATATTTGGTATCGATGCATCCTTTAATAAATCGTTCTCGCGTATCAACATGTTCTTTAATTATTGATAGTAAACGTTGAGAAAAACAAACACCTAAAAAGAAAATTGCGTTTATATTTTACTCTCAAGACTAAAGTTGATAAAAGAGCAGCTACCTCCGCCATATGTTGCAAACCAAAATCGTCTTCCATGACCTACTTTTGGTTGATTGAAACTTGGTTTCCCAATATAATATGGAAGATCATATGAAAATCCTTTTAAATAATCAATTAATAATGGTACATTGACATATTGATCATCGTCAAATCGACATAACCATTTAAAGCTGGCTTCTTGTTGATAATAGAGTAAAAATTCTGATGCACTATGACAACATAAATGGGAAACTGTATGACTTTGAATGCAATCACTGTGATATAATGTATTGTTTAATGATGATAGGTTTTGTTTAATTAATTGATCTTTTAAAAATTGTACTTTACCGTTTGTTGTTATAAGAATATTGTTAGGTGCAAAATGGAACCATGTATTTAAAATTGCTGGCATTCGATTATTTTGTGATGCAGACGATGTTCGTATTATCATCAAAACATCGTTAACTGCCAAATTACTGATTTTATTAGTCTGATAGTCTTTGGCTTTAAAATAATCGTACAAACTTTTACTGCTATCGATGCAGTTCGGTATTAGGACGATGTTTTTTGGACAAATATTTGTATATTGGAAAAGGAGTAACAATAAAATGGATAAAAGTATCAAATTTGAGCATAGTCGAACAATAGCGAAACGTCTAACCATATAGAACTATAATCATACAGAGAAATATTGACAACGATTCAAGCTAATCTTTGATTTTGAATAATTATCTTTCGATTATGTAGAACTTATTAGTTGTTAAATTATTAACCATTCATATATAAAGTTTATTATAATAAACTGTTGATAGTTTGTAGGTGAAATATTTTGAATATTTAGATCGATCGATAAATAATATAAGTATTATAAAGTTAATTTCTATTTGACATTGTATACAACTCAATATAATATATGCAAATCAATATGAAAACAAAAAAGACGATTTTCTCTCGTTTACAGAATATGTATGTTGCAACAATGAATACGAAAGGTGACCCTAAATACTTTCTCACTCTTTTTATTTTTTCTTCTAAACAGAAAGAAAAAAAATTATTTTCATGTAATTAGGTAAACCGATTCTGCAAAACTATATATACGGTTCTAAAGTTGACGTGAATCACGGGTATACGATTGGAAATACCAGAACCGTTCATTTGAGAATACTGAACCAAGTAAAAAATTTTAAGTGAATACGTTCCACTTAAAATGCATAGTTATTTGATTTGCTAGGACAAAATACGCTAGTAAATTTTATATAGATCTACTCATACTTTCATGTCAAAATAATTGAACTCAGCTGTCGAAACAAGATTGGTTAAAAAATCAGTTTTTAGGCTTTATGAGCCATCTTTCAATACAAAACTGGTGCTGATTTCAATTTCCAAGCTTCATAGAGAAATACTAACTCAAACAGAGGTGGGCAAGCCCGGTGTTTTTCAGTCCGAATCAAGTTCAAGTCCAGTAGAGGTTAAGTCAGAATGACTTCCAGTCCGCTTTTCAGCTAAAATTTTCTTTCAGTCAGTCCCAGTTCAGTCCGAGTCCGCTAAGCGCTCCCCTCAGAATAAAAATCTTTTTGTTTCAAAAAAATCAATTTCAAACGAAGGCAGGTTTCCTAGAAGCCTTGAAAACCAGGGGCTTCAAATAATAATTTTTTTCTGAACACTTAGGTTTGCAGAGCAGACTCTTCTGATCAAAATAAGACGTTTCACAACTCTGTGTGATCTTATGTTCAAAAATTACAAGCATTTTTCTACATGTTCTAAAATAGACCAACGAATGCACAGCATTTTCTCTCAAAACACGTTTTTTGTTCGAATATGCCCAGTGTCGGATTTTTTTTTTTAATATACTTCAAACCAGAGATCTCGTGTTGGTTTTATTTTAAACTAGACATCTAACTGCGCGGACTGATGGGAACCGATTTTTGAATTAGGCCTTAGTTTACTAGAAAATCAAGGCTCTCTGGAAAACCTGAAAGGGTTTTGGGGGCTTTTGAAGAGCTTGGACCTCTAGAAAACGAACAAAGACCTAAATCAAAAATCTGGCCCCATCAGTCCACGTAGTTAGGTGTCTAGTTTAAAATAAAACCAACACGAGATCCCTAGCTTGAAGTATATTTAAAAAAAGTGTCCCACAGTGGAGGGTGGTTTTTTGACCTTGGAACCTGGAAAATCCTTGAACGGTAAGAGAGAGCGGGGAAAAAAATTTTTCATAATCCCACCTTGATATGGCAAATATTTGCTGAAAGCATTATCAAAGTCGGACATAAGTGTGTTTTTTTCTGAGGGGAGGCTCTTAAGTTCGATGTCAGTCTCAGCTTTCCATTTTCGTTCTTGTTCTGCTATTTTTTTATCAGAAAGACATTGTTTCTTTACATAACTATAATAACAGAAAACGACAACAAAAATTTTTGTGAATGTTAAAAAAAACAAGACCAACCGGATCCGAAGTGCTGGACGCGCATAGCATCTTTGTTGCTGGCGTACTGAACATCGGGTACAGAGAAGATTTATTAAAAATTATACTACTATCTTTATCTTCTTTATCTTCGAAAAAAAAACGGTTTTGAACGACCACATTAAACTGAACTATTTTTAAACTGAAAAATGACACAATCAAAAAGTTCAGAGAAAACACTTACGTTTGCTAAAATAGATGGCGAATACACAACAATAACAGAACCTTCGTAGCGTCGAGAGCCTAAAGTGGAATTTGGATCTACTGTTAACAGAGTCTCTCTACTCAGAAAACTATTTCCGAACGTTGCATTAAAGAATAAAAGACTCAACTGATTCATTTCTTTATTCATTTAAAATGGGATTTATTTTGTATAAGCTTTTCTATCAAACGCTGTTTAGATTAGAAACAATAACGATCTGGAACAAAGCTGAAGTTTGGGAAAATTTTTTATGGGTTAAGTTAGGTTAACCTAGGCTGGGTTACTAAAACATTAATAGGTTAGATTAAGTTTAGATTACGGGTTTCGCAGGTTAGGTGATTTAGGTTGTGAAGATTTTTATAAGTTAGGTTATAGGTTGTCAAAAAGTCGTAACCTGCAGGACTCTAATTTGGACTTGCCCATCTCTAAACTGAAATTGAATACATAATTATTACATCATTTAGCTTTATCGATTATCAGGAGCATAAAAAATAAATTGGTACAATTAATACCATGTGGCAATGCTCTAAATTGAGTATTTTAAACAGCTGAATCATGCGACCACTAATAATTTGCAAAAAATTTTTAAAATGAACGGCACAATATAGAAACTTATGTTATTCTAAAAGTTCGACTGGCACGACACAAATTCAATTTTAATTTTTCAGCCAGATATGCAACTTTGTGTAGAATTGAGTTCTGTTTCTCACAGTATAAAAAGAAAAATTTTCGTGTTCTGTTAGAAGTGTCAATAGTTTGTCATATAAATGGATAGTTATTTATGGATCTTGTATTATTTATGCCATGAGAAAATTGTACGGCTTCTGTTTCCTATGCACGCTATTTGCAGAGACAGTAGTTAAATATTTCTTTTTTCTTTTTCTGTCTTTCTTCTTTTCTTACTTCTGTTGTACAGTCATCGTTCGGTTACGACAATGTGTACAACTTATGTTGATTTGTTTTGTTGACCTATTGAACTAATATATATATATATATACGAGAGAACAAAAAGTCTATGAGTATTATTCACTACTGGAGTTGTTTATAAATTTATTCGTGATACAATTGGAATAAAAGAAAAGATTCGATTTTTAATCGATAATCAGTTCGAGTTTGCTGACTTACAAAAGATAATAAAAAGAGAATTTTTGCATTCGGCGCTCATACAATAATGAGCCATATTTACCACATGATGATGTCGCTAGGTCTCGCCGTTAAGGTCCCCGGGTCAAAAACCTATCTCAGCCCAGGTAGATCTGATCTGAGCCAACCTTTCAGCGAATGTTGACCATATCAAAGTGTGGTAATGAAACCTTTTTTACGGCACCACTTACAACTATTCATGAGAGGGTACCACAAAACGGCCAAGAATAGGCGTCTACCACGTGCAGGAATTCTCATTCCAGGTGAATGATAGAGAGTGCATTTTTTTACTCAAATGTTCCTACATGATGTGGTTACCATTTCTCGATGCCATTTTCTTGCGTCCTGTCTATATACCACACAGTCTATATGATCAGACTTCTCTCTAAAAAAAAGGCTTCATACTAAACCATTAAGGTTTCGTGTATTTTTTCGAAACTTTTAATGGTTTTGTAGTGAAATTTCGAAATTCAAAGGGTTTGTTAGACGGTACGAAACCTCAAAACAAAATATTTTTCTACAAGGTT